TAATTTCGTCTGAAGGCCCTCAATGGAAAGAGGCCATTAAAAGTGAAATTGATTCTATTTTGCAGAATCACAATTGGGAGTTAGTGAATTTACATCCGGGTGTAAATCGTTAGGTTCTAAATGGATCTTTCGGAAAAAAATGAAACCTGATGGTTCCATTGATAAGTACAAAGCCAGACTTGTAATCAAGGGTTAGAGTCAACGTGAGGGATTTGATTACTTTGACACATATGCCCCTGTGTCTAAGATAAATTCCATTAGGATGATACTTGTGATCGCTTCTTTACAAAACTTAGAAGTTCATCAAATGGATGTGAAGACAGCTTTCCTTAACGAAGATTTCGAAGAAGAGATCTACATGGAAAACCCTGAGGGGTTTAAAGTTCTGGGTCAGGAAAGGAAAGTCTGTAAACTTATTAAGTCATTATAAGGTCTCAAACAAGCGCCAAAACAATGGCATGAAAAATTTGACCTAGTAATGACTAACTCCGGCTTCAAAATTAATGAAGCAGCCAAGTGTGTCTATTTAAAAGATACATCCAAAGGGTATGTCATGTTATGTATTTATGTAGACGACATACTCATAGTGGGTAGTAATGACCAGATGGTCAAATCTACCAAAGATATGTTGAACTTGCGGTTTGACATGAAAGACATGAGCCTGTCGGAAGTAATTCTTGGAATTTATATTGATGACAAAATCTTTGACAAGTTCAACAAAGATGACGTCAGAGTAGCGAAGACGTCGTTGGACGTCAATGCACGTACACCTGGCTAAATACCAAGGACCTAGTAACTCTCAAATGTAGTATGCGGGAGCTATTGGTAGTTTAATGTATCTAATGAGCTGCACTCAACAAGACTTAGCCTATGGCATCAGTAAGTTGAGTAAATACACCAGCAATCCCAGTGATGAGCACTGGAAGGCTGTTGTATATGTGATGAGATACCTACGGTATACACGTGACTATGGATTATGCTACTCGAGATGTAACACCCCGCAAATAGGCCTGTCAGAATTAATTAATTTTTAATTAATTAATTGTTGAGGAGGACCTAAAAATAAGTGATTTATAAAGTTTGTGAATAAATAATGAAAATTATATCGTTATGTAGAGTTTGACTACTTGACCACATCAGTTCAATCAGATCTTAATTCGGAGAAAGTTGGACCGAAAAGTGTACCCCGACTGAGACCAAATTAGTCCCAATCCGGGAACTACAATTAAATATCCTCAAGATAGCAAATTGCCGCTCCACCATTGAGTATCACCATTTGCATAAGAACTCTTCTGGCTTCTTCTTCCTTCACCCTCCTATATGAGGATACACCACTCTCTCATTTCTTTACAAAATCATTCTGTTCTTCATTCTATTCTGTTGCTCTAAGTGTGGAGAACACAGTGGTGCTGTCAATTTGGTGAGAGGTAACCGGAGCTAGCCATAATCCTCGCCGGAAGTTTCACTAGAAAATTCTCAAAACCTTCATTTAAGCCTGAGGTAAGACCTTAGATATATCTAGTGATTAGAATGTTTGTATATATCGTTTCTACATTCATAAACAGACGTTTGGTTGAGTTTTTTGTTTGACATGATTGAAGAAACCAAGAATCATAAACCTTGAAATTGTTGTTAAAACTACAAACCAATGATGCCAAAATGATCTATGAACTTTGGAGAAAATTTATATACAGTTTAATTAAAGTTTGGTGACTAAAAATGAAGTTTAAAAAAATTCGCCCGAGATTGAAGATGACACTATTCAAAACTACGTGTAGAACGGTAACAAGCTACTGCCCAAATGGTACCATGGTACCGCCGGCACGATAGGCTGTGCCGTCGGAACGGTAGGCCAGCTACCGTCTCCACCGTGAAAAACTCCCTTCTCTGGCGGTACCTGATGCCAGGCCCCGTACCGTCTAGACGGTACCGAGGTACCGTAAGGGGTACCATCCAATCTAAAAATTATCTAGAAACCTGATTTTTGAAATATTAAATCATATTTTTGATACCAATCATTTATAACCAATATGTAAATGATTTCTGGAAATAAATATGATGTTTTGATAAATTCAAGAACCTTGTTTGAGGCATGACGGTAAGCTAAGGTGTTATCACTAGGGGTGAGCTTCGGTTCGGTTCGGTCGGTTTCGGGCCAAAACCGAACTAACCGAAATTTTTTTGGGATAAAAAACCGACCGAAACCAAACCGGTAAATTGGAATAACTTACAAACCGAAACCGATTAAACCGAATTGGTTTCGGTCGGTTATCAAAAACCGAATTGCACAGCACCCAAAACATGAACCTTCATGGTAAAAGATAAATAATGAATGAATGAACAATTTCGTAGCAATTCGATGATGGGAAACCAAAAAAACATTGAAGCCAAACGAGATTGGGGCTTCTTTCTCTAATCTCTACGTCAACATAGTGTAATTATGAATAAATTAAAGGCCAAAGAAAAGTGGCAAAAATTCAGCCCATTTTGCAAAAAAAAAAAACAACAAAACCTTACGAAATTGGCTGAAGAACTGCACTGTCGTCTTGAACTCTCAAAGAAGAAGGCAGAATTGGCTATATTGCAGAGGCTTGGACTCTCAATCGGATCTGCAAAAGGATGAGGCTTCGAAAATCGCGATTAGGTGGAGTAACAACCAAAACCTAAAATTATAAATCCCAAATCTCAATGTGGTGGAGTACCCGTATGCTACTGTCAACTCCCAATGGATTTTAGTGTTTTAGATAATGGAGTGGGCTGATTGCTATTGGGCTAACTTCCCATTGGGCTTTAAAAATGCATATTATTAATTAGTAAACACTTATGCCGGTTTATCCAAACAAAGCATGTATATCGGTTATTCGGTTAACCGAATAAACCGATACCTGAAACCGACACCAAACCGAAGTACCCGAACAAACCGATTTTTTTATTATATAAAAACGAAACCGAAACCGAATTAGCGGTTAGTTCGGTTTTCGGTTTTCGGTTTAACGGTCAGTCCGGTTAATTTGCTCACCCCTAGTTATCACTCAATGCTAGCTAGGCCGCTATTTGTTATCAAATGTCATGATTATTATTATTAATGTTGTTTATGACCAAAATTTGATGAATATTTTGATTAAAATGATAATTATGAATGATTGAATCATGATTGAAAATCAATATATTGATGGTGTGTAATGCTAAAAGTTATCTAGAAGAACTCTAAGATATACTCATATGACCAGTTTGATTGAATTGATATTGATTTTAAAGGGTACTTAGAAGAAATATAAGATATATCCATATGACTAATTTAGTTAGTCCTTGCGGGTATGACGTCCGGTGGCCAGGGTTAAACGTACGTACGGGATCCACAAACCAAACTTGAGTACCTACTCATTTGGGGGTACCACCCAACCCAACGGTGAGTAGTCCGCTGTTCGGTTTCTTGTGTACCTTAAGCTAAGGCTGGTTTAAGAGTTGGAAAATCTTTTTTAAAAATTGTACCTTAAACTAGATTAGCTAAAGAGTTGTTTGAAGAGTTGGTAAAGTTTAAGAATTTGGCCTTAGATTAATAATATTTTAAGAGCATTGTTGATATTATAAATGTTGAATCCCTGAAATGAATATTATGTGCATGATATCAAATGATTTGATTATGAATTCAGATTCAATTTATATGGATGTTCGATGCATTAGATATCTTTACTTCACTTCATCGCTGAGCATGTAGTATGTTTTATTTGTTACACGCGGGAAAACAAAAAGAATGAAGTGACGTGTTCCTAGCGGCAGATTGGGCGAGATTGTCGGGATGGATGTGACGATTTGATTTATGATTTCAAAAATCATAAAATAATTATTTGTGATTGTCATGTGACATCTTTTAATTCGCTTCCGCATTATTAAACCTTCTGTATCATTACTGTTTATGTTATGAATACTATTTATGATAAATAAAAAATGTTTGAAATATTTTAAATATTTACGAATACCATGTTAATACTTTAGTCCAAAAGGGACTGCAGACCTGGACGGATTAGGATGTTATATGAGATATCCATCGGTGTTAGAAGGATAAACGAATGCAAATCAGATATCTGATAGTAAATACTTTAAATCCACAAGTGGATAATATGTCCTTGCGCTAGTGAGTGCAGCAGTATCTTTGAAATCCTCAAAGCAAATGTTGATTTTTAGGTCCACCATGGAATTTGAGTTTATAGCTTTAGATCAATGAGATGAGGAAGCTCAATGGTTACACCATTTTCTTGAGAACATTCCAAGATGGGACTAACCGCTCCCATTAGTTTGAATCTATTGTGATTGTCAATCAACATTAGGGCGTGCAAAAAGTAACATTTATAATGGTAAGTCTAGACATATTTTTGGTAGACACAAAACCACAACTTCACACAACTGGTATTATCACAACAAGGTATGTGAAGTCAAAAGATAATCTGGCGGACCCGCTAACCAAAGGGTTAACAAATAAGTTGCATGAGAAGTTGGCAGCAGGAATGAGCTTGAAGCCCTTGTTCTAAAAAAGTTCTATAAGGAAAACCCAACCTGGCTAGTACCCAGGTTCAATGGAACAACCTACTTGTAGGACGAAGCGTGGTCATTATGGGGGCGGCACCGATACCCCCGGTCAGTCCTTTCTGTTCTTGCTTAAGAAAGTAACTCCCTAAAATGAAGAGGTTAACATATAAATATGCTTTAATGATTTTTGAACATATAAGGGTAGGTAAATGTGCCAAAACTTGCCCAGAGAAGACCCTAAATTAGTCTTTTAGATAAAACTTATTTGTCAAATAAGAAAATGAGAAAATTGACATGTGATGACTAAAAAAAAAGAAAGATATGAGTCGGTGAAAATATGTAAATTTTATTTGTTAACAAGACACTAATTTTTTAAATATATTTAATTTAAAATCATTTTAGTCAAACATGCAAACACATCATAGTTGGAAATTACTATAAAAAACTCAATGTATTGGTGAGCATTTTGCGATTTGGGGAAGATGGCCTAAATCAAAATGAAAAACATAACCAACAATTCCGTACACTTGCCATATGATATGTATGGTGAGAAGTCGTACCAGTCTACCATCATCAATAAGAGCTGAGACAGTGGGCTGACAGTGCAGAGTGCGGAGTGGTGGAGCTGATAAAAGGGAAGGCGGAGAAGTGGAGGAGGCCTCACCCGAAGAATGAGACCAAACCCTAGAAGAGCAGTAAAAGAAGAAGACAACACAACATATTATGGGTAATTGTGGTACTAGAGAGGAATCCGCTGTCGTCTCCACTGCTCACCGCCATGGTTCTTCCTCCCTCTCATTCTTTCTGTTCTTATAACTGTACCATTTTATTCGAAATTTTAAGCTCTGTTGATGTACTCTATTTAAGGTATGGGCATCAAGGGCTATAATTTACTTTTGCTATCATCCAGATCTATTACACCCAGTCACCCCCACCTGTTGTTTTCTACTTGCATCCCTATTGATGAATGTTAGTTGACCACCCACATTCCGTAGGATTTTCTTGGGATTGTGACAATGCATATGTCATTTTCAAGTACTTATATTTGGCAAATGGAACAACTATTTTAATGTTTTTTAGTACTTTCGGTGTCATATTATTATGCGTTGATTGAGATATTATTCAAGGGTGTCCAAGTTAGTTTTTTTTTGTTTTAAATGATTTCATATTTAATATTTGTTTCTTGAACCTGCAATCAGCGGGTACAGTTCAGCAGCCGCTTCAGGGGTTATCAGCTTCCAGCAGGAATGTTGGTGCTGAGAAGAAGCACATCCAAAGCCGTTCTACATCGGATCTGAGTGACCCTTTGACTCCGCGCACCTTGGATGATTTTAGGAAGAATGCCGTGCTATATACCCATGTCATTGCCTTCACCCTATTTGAGTTAGAGACCAGTACCAAGAGTTTCCGTTCGGACTACATTCTCGGTGAGGGTGGGTTTGGAACAGTCTATAAAGGATATATTGACGAGAATGTCCGGGTGGGACTCAAGTCCCTCCCTGTAGCTGTCAAAGTCCTCAACAAGGAGGGCCTTCAAGGTCACCGGGAATGGCTCACTGAGGTGAACTTTCTAGGACAACTTAGACATCCTAATTTAGTCAAGCTGATTGGATATTGCTGTGACGACGATCACCGATTGCTGGTTTATGAGTTCATGTTCAGAGGAAGCCTTGAGAACCATCTGTTCCGAAGTATGGATTCTCTTTTCTCTTTTCTTTGAATTTTTCTTTTTTCCTAAAAGTAATGTGCAGATATTTATTGGTGAAATGCCGTCAAATGCAAGGATACCGTACTATACTCATTTAGCTTATGGATTTTGATCATGGAATTTTGAGTTTTGCCTTTTGGTCTTGATTTAACTAGTTATTCTACTTAAGTGAAGTGTTTATTTTGATAATAACTAAACTTAATGTGGTACTTCTTGAGGCATTCAGAGGTAACTGTTCCGCTATCTTGGTCAACAAGAATGATGATTGCTCTTGGAGCTGCAAAGGGGCTGGCATTTCTTCATAATGCAGAAAGGCCTGTTATATATCGTGATTTCAAGACATCAAATATTTTATTGGATTCTGTAAGCTGGCACTTACCATGGAGACTGTTTTTCTATTAATTGCCATTTTGTGGTTGTACACTTCTACCTGTGAAAATAATGCAAATGGTTTTGTACTATAGGATTACACTGCCAAACTTTCTGATTTTGGTCTTGCAAAAGCTGGGCCACAAGGTGACGAGACTCATGTATCAACTAGAGTAATGGGTACATATGGATATGCAGCTCCTGAATATGTGATGACGGGTACAGCCTTATAGCTTCAATTCACCACTTACAGATGTTTGTTAGATGGAAATGATCATGGAGTATATTTTGAGTTAGTTCATCTTATCTTTTGTCATTAGTCATAGAAATTTCACTAATCCTACATCTTTGCAAATTGAAGAACCAGTAAGCCTAATCTTAATATTTTCAATGTCTTAGCGCAACTGCTTGGATGATAGATCCTGTGTATTTTCATGCTAGTATTTTATATATGTTGATGAATACAACTGGATTCATCATGCATAAATTGTGATTATTTTCGCCCTCAACTGATCACACTCTGCAACCAACCTATGTTTTGGTACCCTTTATCCAAACTCCACGTGAAAAAATTTCTGTGCATGTGTATTTGGGAATGGAGGGGTGGATCTTTAAAAAAGGGATTAATATGCGACTTGGGGTAAAAGCTGAATATAGAATCATTCAAATCTTCAAAAAAATAAAAAAAAGCTCTTTAGTAACGTAATCTATTAATCCATAAAATCTTGTTTCAAATCCTTAGTTTGTGCAGACACATATTATCTGATTTGTGTTCAAGTATTCTGAACTATAGAATTGCTTACTAGTAATATTGAAACTAACTTAATTTTGTTATATGGTAATGTCCTCAATCATTAACTTTCTGCAGAAACATTTTTATTCCTTTTTAATCTCTGTACACTGAAAGCAGATCCTTGAATTGAACTAAATATCTAATTAGTGATGGGAAAGAATAACCCTGTGCCATTAACCTAATGAAAAAATTGAACTTTAAAGCTACCCATGTTCATAATTCTAAGTATTCTATTTAAAATTCTTTACACTTTTTGCAATCTCAGAATTATTAGAATTCCCAGCATGAGTCTTAATTAGAAGTATTCATATAAATTTCCTTTTGTTTTTCCCTTATGTGATAGTTGTTTAAGAAGTGTGATTTCATGTTTAGAATTTCTCTTGGCCCATTGCACACTTCTGGCACATCCTTGAAATACTTGTAAATTTGCACCTTCATTAAATATTACGAACCAATTTGTTTGCTTTTTAGTGCCCTTCCAAGTGTGTGTAGTTGTCTCAAAAGGTCATATATGGTGTTGGATGTAGGACATCTTACTGCAAGGAGCGATGTTTACAGTTTTGGGGTGGTTCTTCTAGAGTTATTGACAGGCAGGAAATCGGTGGACAAGACCAGACCAAGCAGGGAGCAAAACCTGGTGGACTGGGCTCGACCAAAGCTAAACGACAAGAGAAAAATGCTGCAAATAATAGACCCAATATTAGAGAACCAATACTCTGTGCGGGCAGCACAGAAAGCCTGCAGCTTGGCATACTACTGCTTGAGCCAAAATCCCAAAGCCAGGCCCTTAATGAGTGACGTGGTTGAAACTCTGGAGCCCCTGCAATGCACCACTGGTAGTGCAAATGAAGCCTCACCATTGGCATTGTCATCTACTGGCGTTGCATTCTCGGTAGGGAGGAGGGTGCCCGAGTTTCAATTGCATCACAGGTTTGCTGGTAATCTTGGCACTTCTGCCGTCTGCCGCTCCCCCAACCCAAGCTGTTCCCCGGGTGGCCTTGCACCACCACCATGTAGGGTAAGATGATTCGGGCATGTCTTTTTCAGTTTCTTGCTGCACCCATCCATTTAACTCCTATTTGGGTGCATTTATGTCTTCTGTGCCAGGTGTAAATTGTGCTGGTAATGTAAGTCTTTCATTAGCATCTGTGCTTGTGTGTCTTTAGTAGATTAATGTCGTGCTATGTGAAAAAAAAAAAGAAGCTATGCCAGCAGTTTTAGGCTTGATGCTGGTAAAAACTGCCATTGGGTTTTTATCCTGTCTATTTTAAATGTTACAATGTAATGAATGGTCACTCTTACCCCTTTGATCCTCTCTATCCTGCAAGTTTTTAGTGTAGGAGAAAAAGAACATGGGCATGTGACAATACTTTTTTTTTTCAAATATAATATGTTGGGTTTCCCAAGGTATCCAAATTCCAAACAATGGAGACTCACGAGACTCATCCCCGTTAAGCGGTCAGCCCACAAAGCAGTACAGAGTTTCCACAGTTTTTCCTATTCACGGAGAATTGATGTAAATTCTATTTCATTTGTTTATTTTATCACTTTCCATCATCTCCGATGGAGCCAAAATTTTACCTGTTTTTGGCTTTGGGGTGTGATGGAATAAATCAAAATGGATATCTAAACTATTTGCGCTTCTTTAATTAATGAAGTAGCAGTTAGTCAAGCAATGCAACTTTCGACGTTGAGCCGGGGGTCTCTTTGGAAACAGCCTCTCTACTTTTGAGTAGGGGCAAGGTCTGCATACATACACCCTCCCCAGACCCTACTCTTGTGGAATTTAACTGGATTGTTGTTGTTGTTGTTGTTGTTTATTTTATCAATTGATCTCATTAATCTGCTTATGGCTCTTCTATGGGATACCGACTTCTCCTTATGTTAGGCAAAGAAGCTGAGGCTATATGTTATGGGGCTTCACCCATCGGCGTGATGGGCCATTCCTGCTTGGCGTGACTGCCACGACAGACGGCTGGCATCTCATTGCCATCATGGGCGAGGCCCATCTTGTTTCGTTGTGGCTTCCCGCGTCCCAATGGATGTGAGTCATTAGCTTTGTACTAGATTCTACCTGTGCGATGCACGGCAAGAGCACTAATTTCATACATTGTCATATACAAATAACTAAATGTTACTATTTTAAAAATAGAAAATTAAAATAGAAAAAGGACATAGTCATTGTCATGTTTGTAATATTTTGGAGGAAAAAAATTACTCTCTCCGTCCCATTTTAAATTGTCTGTTTGCCTTTTTTCTCCGTCCCAAAATAAGTTGCCTATTAGTTGTTTTCGTAAATTTTTAAAAATAAAATACCTAAATTATCTCTAAAATGAGTCACACTTCTTCACCTTATCTTCTCATTCATCATCATCCCTCCTAAAAAGTAATGTCAATTTTGGAAAATCAATTCTATTTTTTATTTTTCTTAAATATGCCAAAAATCAAAACAGATGATTTAAATTGGGACGGAGGGAGTACATTTTAAGCATAAAACATGGAATAGTCATGGAAAATTTCTTTATACACAACATTCCAAGTGCAGTCAAAGACATTATTTTCTTCATCGCAAGTCAATACTTGATACTTGATAAAAGCATGGAACAACTTGCTTGTCCGTGCTTCATCGCCACATGTATTGATGTATACCATTACTATTACTCCGTACTAGTCTAAAACATAAAGATCCAAACCTTAGAGGAAATATATGAGCAATTATTTCGTCTATTTAAAAAAAAGCTATAAAACTTCACCAGTAGTCTGGTCAATGTTATAAATGGACTTCAAGTTAGGGGTGGACACGGTACCGGTACGGTACCGTGACCGGCGACGGTACCGCCGGTACCCGCCACTGTCACCGTCGGCCGGGATGTTCCACCGGTTCCGGGAACTAGTTCCGGTACCCATTTTTCGGTACCGGCACCGGCGGTACCGGTTCCGGTACCTTTTTTTTTTGTCCAGCCTCCAGTAGTCCAGCAGGCCCTCCAGCTCCAGCAAGGTTACTCTCTTTCTCAAAATAAGTCTCTTCCAAATTTTTCAACAATTGCATTTAATATTTTTCATAGATCTCAATTGTTTTTATGGACACTAGATTTTTCAAAAAATAATCAAAAAAATAAATCAATTTTACACTTTAAAAATTTAATAAAAAAGCAAAAAAAAAATAATTTGGGGGTGGCCGGTCCGGGTACTGGAACCAGTACCGGCCGGTCCGGTCACGGTACCGGTACCAAGGGGTGGCGGTACCGGAACTGGCGGTTCCGGAACTGGAACCGTCCCGGAACTGTACTGTGTCCACCCCTACTTCAAGTCATCCTCAATTTGATTCTAAATCTTCTTTGGAAATTTCAAATAATCCCCCAAATCAAGCCTTGAAACTAAAATTTTAGTTTGAAATATGACAAAGGCAGACCATTAAAGCATTAGCCTATCAAGGTACTCTGGTTTTTACCTTCTCATTATCATTTTTTATATGTGGCAGTTAGAAAAGGCAGCAGGCAATCTTCTAATTGTGGATGTTATTGAATATGTTGGGGTAGAGATGCTCGTTCTTTGTTATAGACTTCCAACAAAAGTATTGCATGGAATACAATGTGAATAGTTATGAAAAAAATTACAAATTTGTACTCTCTATTTAAGGATTTAGTATAGCTTCTATAAATTAATGGCACCTGTTTGTCAATTCTTTTGAATTGGAGTTCTTCAACCTCTTAATGAACATGAATTTTCAGATTGCTCTTGCCTTCGAGATCTGGGAACATAATTAAGGTAGAATTTAGGAACACCATTTCATCATTAAGGGTATTGATATATCAAAGTAGTTAGCACATATAGAGCATAACTTTCAGGAGCTATTTAAAAATATACCATATTGGTCAACATCTTTTATTTTTTGTTTAATCAACACTGACAATTCAAGGACTTCTTCTGTCTACGAAGCATATGCAAGTTAGCAAGTTAAAATAGTGAAAAGAAATTTTTGAAAAACTACACAATGGAAAGTTGTGGCAAGACAAACACAAAAGTATTATAATGACACATAAAAATAGATTTAAAAATTACGAAGATGTACCTAGACCAAGTTATTGTCATGAATTGGTGAAATTTGTCTTGATGCATGTCCTCCGCCCCGCCTATTCTACTTATCAATAATAGTATAATAAGACTTGCAAGAGCTTTTAAAGAGCCCTCGTCATAAAAAGTGAAGTATATAATATTTCCAGACAAACATGCAGGTTAGAGAACAGAAAAAAATACAAATAACTAAGCAAAAGCAGATAACATACTCTATCAAACAACAAAAAATCATTTAGTCTAAAATGTATCTTGAAGTTCATCCCAACTGTATCAGTTACTTTATTGCACATTAGAGGTATAAATAACACAAAACAAATGATTCACCATTTTAAGCATTATAAGCTTCAAGTGAATATATAAGAAAAGATAATAACTGGCATACTTATGATGTGTAAGAGAGAAGAAATTCCCAAACCACCAAAGAGGAGACCAAATTTTAAAAAATCACCTTTCTTTTTTAGATTCATAGCTCTTTACAAAGCTCTCAAATTGAAAAAGAATATTCTTCCATTAATCAATCCAACAATCTAGTAAATCTAAAAGTAATCTTCAAGGCTTTAAGGCGTACAAAGGACTCGATTTTCCTTTCACAAATTGAACATAGTCTATTACAGAAAATCACACTTCTAACCATTTTCCAGGATTAAATGCAACATAGCACGTCTTCTCAAGAAATATATATAAACATCTTTATAGTAACCAATGAACTAATCCTTGACAAAAAAATTAAATGTTTATTTTTATGGGAGAAGTTCTATATGTAACGTCAATAAGCATCAATAAATTGATAAACACATGGCGAGTGGTCAGAAATTCCATCTTTATAAGTGAAATAAAAGTTACGGTGCAAAAACTTTCACAGATAAGCCACACTAAATTTGCGAATGAGAAATCATCAAGGCCAATAAAACTAATGGGCTGACCAAATGTACATATCTAGAAATATAAATAAGATTTCACAGGCTAAACAGTAAATTTCAACCCTAAAAGAAAAGATTAAACCACAAAGGATTAAATAGAAATAGAGCCAGCAAGAACATCCAGGTTCTAAAAAAAAGAGGAAGTTACCTCCTTGAACCTGTCCATCGCCCATGTATTGAGCTGTCTCTACCGGGAATCAATCGTCATCTCTTGTTCGTCTAGGTCTCGAGTCGGCAGCTGCTAGCCTCAGTCAACAATGAACAAAGGTTATGATTCAGACTCCCCCTTCTTCAAATTTGCATCCTCGGTAAATTATCTTCTTCATCAGTACGGTAAGGCATCTGCATTTTGGCGAGTAAGAAGAACAGTACTCGGAAAAAAAGGATTAGCGGTAAAGCTCTCGAATGAATGAAATCGATCAATTCAATCGGTAGATATGACCGCCTAAGGAATATGATCAAAAGTCTATGATCAAAATGCGTTTTGGTTGAAGAAAGAAAGAGAGATTGAAGTTTGGATATGGCTCTTCAAATTCTGCATAAAGAAACTACTCCGTATTGGCATAGAACAGATGGAGGTTGATCTGCGGTTTTCAATGATGTTTGCAAAGCTGATGCCTCCAAAAGTTTAGACGGGACTTTTGTAAAGAGTAAGATAAGATTTCAAGGTGCATCCCATTTCTCTACCCGACCCAACATGCCCTGAATCTACCCTGAAATTTAGGCGGGAAAAAATTCCTCTTGCTTTTGTAAAGAGGTAGATTTTTTAAAAAAAAACAATATTTTAGATTTTGCTTATAAACACTCTTAAAAATCACATACTTCACTTCCATATTTATCATTTAATTCTAAAACAATTCTCTACACTTCTCTTCCTCTTCATGGATCCCAACAACCCAACTAGTCCCTACCCCAAAATTTGTTAATTGTTACTAACTACAAATGGACTTGAATAGTCTAAATAACCCGACGAACCCTACAAACTCGTTGCTTGATTGTGCAAATTGGTTTCAACAAGGGTTAATTTATTACTTTCTCTGTCCTAAATTGATATTTTCAACCACTATTCACATGGTTAAACATTCATCATTTTCTTTATCTATTTTCATTCATTATGTGATAAAATAATATAGTTATATCACCTCTTGTTTTGTAGAACGTTTGATGTAGTTTTAGAATATATAATTTTTATTTTTTATTTTTACACCAATAATCACATAAATAGAATTGAAAATAATTTCAATCAAACCTCGTAAACCGAAGTAAGATCATTTTTGGACTAAGGGAGTACCAAACTATACCCAAGGCACTAATATCAAAATTCAAGTACGATTTTGTTCTTTAA